AACATAGGATGAGGAGGCTAAATATGATAAAAGAACTTTTATAAATGTTTCCTTCCATAAAAGTTGACCTATTACACTGTCACATTTCTTTTCCAACTTCTTTTATCAAATATTTTTGTCAAAGAACTTTTATAGTGTTATTCCGGCCTAAGAGTTGTTTTTCAATTTTACGTCAATCATAAACAATTTCTTGACTTTACAATTGAAAAAAATCTCTGAATCTTCGGTAATGTCCAAAATAAGTTATTGCGATTTCGTTTATCTTCCATTTCTTGACTTAATATTTCTAACACGTCTCCAGAAAATCCAAAACTCATGTTGTAGGTTGATCAATAATTTGAAAAAATATGATCATATCAGCCCTTTTTTCAAGGACATGAAGTGGTTGAGAGTAACTGAACTGTGTGAGCTGCAGTTAGTTACGTACACCCACAGACTTTTGCTATCACCCATTTCGCCGTTTTTGAGAAATAAGCTGATATCTAGAAGCAATATTCATTCTAGGGACATGCGATTCACTGAAACACTCACAACGCCCCTTCACATCATTCATTCGTAAATGCTTCGCCTACCACGCAATTATTTTTTACACAAAATTGCTCCCCTATGATGAATTTAAAAGACATATGAAGAAAGTTATTTTGAATAGAAGTACGTATATATAAATCAGTTGATAAAAAGTATCTGTCACTTCACACAAATATTTCCAATATACCATTCCTTTGTTTGTATAAATGTTACAATTTATACTTTTAACTCCTAAAATATTGAATAGCATTCACTTATATGTTATATAAATCATATTTTTATACATCTACATTTTTAACTTGTTACCTATCAAATGTTTTTAATTTTTTGTATTGTTTTTCAGTTTTTTTTTTTTGGTGAAACTACATGTTATATTTTTCACTTTAGGGAGAAGGAAGCTCCTTGAAAAAAGCTTACCCTGAAATTTATACTTGATTTTGATTTTTCGATCTAGTTACCGTGAAGCAGGTAAACAAATAAATTGGATGCATAATTGACCCTTAGTATTAAGATTTTAGTAAATTTTAGTTACTTCGTTGATCAAGCCTGTTACATCTTTTTTCTCAATACTTATGTCTCATACAGGTGCACATGAGCCAGCAAAGCAAGAGGGACAATTTGCCTAGTCTAAAAAAACTGTTTTCTATTTAATTCTAACATTCCGTGATTTTTTTAATATATTACTGCTATAAGATCCTTGCACCACGAAATGCGCCTATATGTCAAAGAAGCAGTACCAGTATTTTGGACTAACATGATGTATTTTTCAGTAGCCAAGCATAGCAACCCTCTGTAGCGCGAAATAGTAGACTACACAGTCGAGCAAGTTCGCAAGCACAATAGCCGTGGCACACACTCTAATCAAAATTAAATCGTTCATTTGGAACAATCAAAGTTAGAGCATTTTGACAGAATCCTTAACAGAATCAAATATTTTTGAACCATATAATAATGGCTGAGTGGTTTTAACAATGTCTAACCGATTTCTGTCCTACAGGATTATCTCCCTAGCACTCTTCCTTCCTTCTTTCTTTTCCCCTGATATTTTTTCCGTAACATTGTCTAGTTTTTGCGAATCCAGACGAGACAGACTTACGAACCGACACTGTGACACAAGACGTAGGGTTCAACGTTCAAGTTATTCGCATGCGCAAAGTTATGTCTCCGAATTTGTGTGCTACATTTAGTGGTGCATGGGGTCCCCGATTAGATTATAAAACAATTTTTGACTTACAGTTCGTTATCATACCTCGATTCTCTTTATTTCTTCTATAATTATGGATAACTGGTAGTCTTCCATCTATACTGGTATACAATGATCCATTGGTGATAGGAAAACGATGTTCCACAGCTTGAAATGCTTTTCCATTTCTGTCAGAAGTGGTGTGAATCTCAAGGCTCTGAGGTTGACTACATGTACCAAAAGGTCTGAACTTGCCATCTAAACCGACTGGAAAAGTAAGTCTTTAAGATTATATCGTAAAGTGCAGTAACACCCAAAACCTTCTTTATTACCAGCAAATAGGATTTTTATATTTCGGCTTCTATTATCAATAAGATCAAGATCAAAACTAACAATATTTTTGCAGAAGCATTACTTGCGATGGCTATTGTCCCTTTTGTGACTTGGTTATCAGTATTTAATATTACCATTTCGAAAAGTATGAGTGTGAACTACGAGGTCTAAGTGAGGCTCCGTAATATACGTCTTTTTTTACTAACCTTGTGGCAGTTTCTCTTCTACGTGTTTAGCTGAACACCTATACACACTGGACACCCATTTACAGAACCTGGAGTCCACAATACCAAGCCCTATTGGGATAAGTAGATCCTGTACTAACCCCAACCATAAAGCTATCCCAGCTACTGGCCATGGATGGATCAATTTTGGGTAGATACACAGGATCTGAAAAGGAATAATATCTCTTAATAACCAGTTCTTATCAAAGTCTCGTAGTATACTCTGAAGCAATTGTTTTGAACTTCAAACAATTCAGACGTATCAGAATATAACTCTATTTCTCAAATTCTACAAGCTCCACCACCGACAACTCCCAACTCCAATTTTCAGACACTCCAAGCACACAAAGCTTCTTCGTCCTGGACGTAGTAGTGATTTTTTCCCAAAATCTCATAAAAATCCGAGCGGTACTTTCATAGTTGGTAAAGGATTAGCGGAAAGATAGAAGATCACATAGACCTATCGAAGGAAATTAGGGAGGTACGCTTTCATACAAATTATCTCTTACCGATAAATGACGCCCTGTCCATCTGAGAAAAATTCCTGTGGGTGCACATGATCGTTGATATGACTAATTCCTCGTGGATAATGATATTAACTTCCACAGCGTACACGCTCAAGGGTACATGTACGGAGGATCTGTGATGAGTGAAACATGACTAATAGATGCGTAGAATTACCAGGGTTGGGGGCGAATAAATATACCAACATCAAGAAATTGAAATAGTAGCCTCCGAAACGTCAAAAAACAAAGCTTGAGCGATTTCTTTTCGAATAAAAAAAACTTCAGAGTGTTTTCGTCCTTGGCATAGGTAGTAATAACCCTGTCTAAGAATCATTAAAAATTATCAAATTCCGCGCTGTACTTCAAAGTTATAGATGGGCCAAGGCTTAGCTGACAGACAGTCTGACAGAATGACCTACCGACAGACAGACCGACGGATATATTATGCGATTAAATTACTTCCTTGCCAATTAACATGGAAATGAAAAATGAGTATACTAAAAATAATAAAACAAATCGTATACCTCAAAAAGTATAAGAATATTCTTTGGTTATAGATCTCTTACAATACGTAGAATATCGTGAGTCGAGTCACAAATCACAAAAATCACAATAAACCACAATTATATGTACTTCTCTCGCACATGTTATTATATATTTAACGTCTTCAAATAATTAATTGCATCATGAGAGTCAGCAATGATTGTCTTTTTTGAAAGAGGTTTTCAAACGCACATCTGTTTACCGTATTAAAAACAAGCTTATATTCTTCGTGAGAAGGAAAACTTTTATAATTGTCTAGCAAATGAATGCCACAATTATAGTCATATTTGGCCATTTCCGACTTCCGGTGAAGGTGTATATATATAAAGTTAACATATTATATACTTATATAACATTGTTCTCATATGAGCTTTTACGAAACGCGTTGCGAATAAGTAGTCTGCTGCTTAAAATTTTTATTTCACAAACATTTCGTTCACCGCATGAGAGTAATGTGCTAATGCTTCATTTTCATCCAATTTGGAGAACGTCTTAAATACCGGTCCTGTTTATCGGGTAATCACTGATTCAAGATCGTATGAAGAGTGGTACGAAATAGTTTCTTACTGCCGAACCTAGGAAAATAATAATTGTTATGTGGTAAAGAGTAATATTATTAAAACAACCGCATTCCCCGATCACAACTACCCTCTCCTGGAACAAGAAATAAATATTAGGGCTGCTACTGTATTCCTATACTATGTTAAATTTTACTGGCATAATCCTTATGTTGGACATACAGTACATGTGTATGTTTCTAATGGATGTTTAAGCACGTAGGCTTGCAAAAAACTAATTTTTCAGTTTTATTATCTGAAATTTGATTATTTAAATAATTATTTTCAGTATTTCTTCGTAAGCCGTCCATCACTGCGGTGATATACCGCTTTATCGATTGAGAATACCGAAGCCTCTTTAGCTCAGTGGCAGAGCACTGGTCTTGTAAACCAGGGGTCGTGAGTTCAATCCTCACAGGAGGCATTGCGATAAGTTTTTTTTTTAGATTCTCATGCTTTTCTATTTTGCCCAATGGGAACCAGATGTCAAATTACGAAACATCACAGGCAACATATAAAAAGCCACAAAAATATTTGTTTATGGTTGTAGTAGTTTTATTTTGAAACTTCATTTGTACATTTTAAAATATGACTCCGGTATTTAAGATGTTACGGAGATATAATTGTAACATCGTGAAATATCAACCTGGTCTGGCATTTTGTGAACTGAATTAGTATTAGCAAGTGAAAGAGTTGGGAGTGTCAGATTTTATTATAACAATTTCAATTTTTTTAAAAATCACGCTTATAATAATACTAATCAACAGGCCTTTTGCTACAGAAAAAGTTGCTACCACTCCGCAGATTGGTTATTTATTTTCTTGTTCAACATTCGTGAACCGTCTCCACACTTTCATGGAATAAAAACATCCGTGAATCCATAAATGCGCAGAACAGTTATACACCTAATCACTCACTTGAGATTGATCATATCTTGATCTACAATCGTGACCAGCATTAATCGACGTTCATTGAAATTACGCTACAGACAAACAAGTCGGATAATTCACAGTGACATAACAAAGCCGCTTTGTACAGGCCATGGCAGTACCGCCATAAGCTCTTCAATGTCTCGGCAGTGAATCATGTAATACGGACATGGAACACTTAAAACTCAAACAATGGTATGTCAGAGGCGTTACACTCCCTAAAGTAGGTACTACCCATAAGCGTTCTGCAAGGAGTATAAGATACGTGGTGGACCAAACTGAAAGTTGACATATGTCACTGATTAACGTAAAATCTGCTTCAGATATGGCATTACTGGAGGTCTAAGCTGATGCATACATGCATAGTGAGGATTTGTGTGCTAATAATGTGTGTTGATGATAATTCCATTGGTTTCTTATCTCAACTACACTTACTTGAGATTCAATTCACTTTGAAGATTTCACTGGGTAATATTATTAATTTTCCAACTGTCTGTAGTATAGGGCTGGTCATGCAATTATGCAAAATAAATGATTAAGACTTTGACTTTATTTTCCTTCTCCAAAAAAATTATCTGAGATGAAATGAGATACCATGGCGTCATCTACGAGAATTTGTTACAGCAACAATTAGAAATCTACTTTAAAAAAGTTAGTGTTTCATAGATGGCGCTGTAGTCAAGTATATCAGCACATACATACATACATCAGTATACAGCTGGCTACACAGTACCATTAACCTTTTCAAAGTAGATTTATTGCGGAGAAGAATAACATATCAATTTTGTCATTTTTACTTCGCGCGCCTACTGTCGAGGAAGTATTGTAATCGCGAAAATTTTTGAAAATTAGGTATTTTTATATTATGTTTTTGGAACAGAAATTACATTAATTGTTTCAGTAAGGGTACGTTAGGTCAGAATTCAAGTGAACATGAGATACTCTGCAAAACTACCCAGAAATTTTGCATTTAAATATTCCACAATACGTTAGGTCAGAATAGAAGTGAACATGAAACACTCTGTAAAACCACCCAGGAATGTTGAATTTAAATATTCCACACACAATTGCAATGTTATTATTTGTCATGTTAATCTTGGCATCTCCTACACTCTTAGCAGACATAATTTCTCATCTTGGTAATGTGCGTGGTGGAGAAAAACCACTGTACCCACTACATGGGCTTGGGAATGAATGGGTCGTTCCAACTTTCTTTGCTTTATTGAGTAAAATTACTAATTGTATACGTTTTACCTTCCTACGTGCATGCGAAGGGAACATGATCGCGAAAATTTAAAAATTACTGTTAGTAGTAAGTATAATATACGTCTTGCACTTCGTGTTTTAGCAATATCTTCATCGATATTGTTGCTTGGGACAATAGTGTAATATACCGAGAATTGTGGAACAATCTCTTAGAAGCGGCTTTCTCCAGTTCCAGTACTCGGAAGCAGTACGAAGTTCGATTAATTCGGTTATATCCAAAAAATACTATAAGTTGAATCATTTATTTTAACTAGGACTCTTCAAGAGTTGATATACCAAAAATAGCGTTTTTTGCTAACTCTTATCGTTTATCTAAATTCGGCAAACTTTTTGTTATTGTATGGTTTTCAGTGCAAGTCTTTGGTTTGATCAGTTGTATATTTTAGTAGTGCGTATAATTTCATTTGTCTAAATTATTTTGTGCGGAAGACTCGCCCATGTTTAAGAAAACAATGAACTAGTGGGCATAATACTAACATACGGAGAGTGCCAACAAAATTCAGCTGCAGCATGCATGTTGTATGCGGGAAGGTTTCCTTAAGAAATCATCCGGCCCCACGGATGTTTGTAAATTTAGTTATTAGACCTTGTGACACAGGATATTTAAAAGAACAACGGGGAGGTCACGCTGGAAGACCCGCTCAACCTGAGATGTTACAAATTGAGGAAGACATTTTAGAAATGGTCGAAGACAACCAACAATGAGTACTAGAGCCATAGCAGCTAAAGTTGAAGTTTCTCATAGTAAAGTGTGGAAGACAATACGACATTATCCTTAATTATTATCTACGGGCACAAGCGTTACAAGCTGAAGATCATCCCAGAAGAGTTGCATTTTGCCAGTGGCTTTTAGAACAGTTCGGCAGAAACGAAGATTTTACGAAATTAATTTTGTGTACAGACGAGGCCACATTTATACGAAATGGTGTGCACAATTTCCACAACAATCATGTTTGGGCAGCAGAAAATCCGAAATGCTGTAAAAACTCATTTCCAACATAGATCTTCATGAAATGTTTGGGCTGGCGTGATAAATGCCATGCTTATTGGACCCTGCTTTTTTCCACCTTGACTGACCGGTGAAATTTACTTAGATTTTCTTCGACACAATCTGCCACAATTATTAGAAGATGTACTTCCACATCTGAAACAGAAAATGTGGTTCCTACATGATGGGGCTCCACCACATTTTAGACGAGAAGTTCATGAAGATCTAAATAATGCGTTTCCAAATAGGGCGCAATGGACCCAATTATTGGCCTGCTCGCTCCCCGGATTTGCGCCTTGCCATTTTTTTCTGAGGGGCGTTGGTGTATCATGAAGGATCAGCAAATACTCTGGAACAACTTCAACAGCGCATTGAAAATGCTCGTGATCGCCAGGATTTTATTTTCGAAGCCCAGCAAGATTTCGCGTTAATCGAACAAATGGGGACAATTTTGAACAGTTTTTGTAAAAACGATATCTATTTAACTTGATAATGATTTTTTTTATAATTTTTAATGTAAATTAACTCTCTCATTACGCAAATTTATATAAGCTATTAAAATAAATGACCCAACTTTGAAAAACTGTATTTATTATAAAAATGTCAAACATGAAACTAACTTCATCTTTCTATCTTGACCGTTCCAAAAAACAAACTGAGAGGACTAGGTCCAGACATCGGAAAGCAAGCGTCTATCAATCATCATCATTTTCTATCCAGGACCTCTATTCTTAAGTTTGAAAGAGAAGAAATTGTGAGAGAAAGTGCCAAAAAGTACCGAAAAGTGATATAACGTAAATGAATTCACTTTAGGGAGTCGCGATTCCCCTTGGTACCGAGTAAGAGAAACTGGAAAAATTGGTATAAAATAGCGCCATATAACCTAAAAATTGACATGTTTGGCATTGTGATTTGGAACGAGATTATTAACGAGGGTGTAGAGGAGGCAGTTGAAGAATGGGAGATTGGGAGAGATATTCTTGGGCACCGAGATCCGTTCATAATTTCGCATCGAACATTTGTACACATATTTAGGTTGACCAAAGATTCGGTGTTGAATTGCTGGAGGTATTGACTCCATTCATACAACCACCCCCACGAGCTTCTGCACTTTCGCTCACAACAAAGGCATGAGTGGATATTAAGCTTTAGTCATTCTAAAACAGTATCCTTTAATTTATCATTAAATTTTTCTTGGTGAATTTGGTGGTGTTCTCGGAGAAATTAAATCATTTTGTCCTTTTGTTCATTTGTGATGTGTTTTTTCTTTAAGTTATGGGCTCCATAGATAAAATTATAAGGAAGAAATCTTGACCAAAATCTTTGGTTGGTTTTTGACTGTCAAAATAATCTGCATTTTGATTGGTTTAGCACGTTTACGCAAACCTGACAACCCTGTGTCTTGATTTACTTTCTTCTTTCTATTGAGTCCTTTCAAGAATACAGTATTTTCGAATCGATAGAAAACCGGGGGAGTAGAAAAAGAGGGGGAGTGTGATTTTCTATTAAAGTCAAGAATAGCGGCACAGGTAGTGGTGGACAAAATCTACTAGGGACACGTTCCATAATATATATGACTCATCTACAGTTTCAAATGAAACATTATAATGGAAACGACCTTACCGGTCTCCTTTAGATAAAAACCACATTCATGATACATTTGCTGGTCAAAGTTACGGTCAAGGCTTGACAATTTCATTGAGCCCACACACCAGGCTGACTCGTATTTACACTTGCGTAATGTTTCATTAACGTTTTTTCCTTCTTCGGTGTGAGAAGATTTATTGCTCATTTTGTTCCTGTCAGAAAGATTATTGCTTCATGCTGTGATGTTTCTGTACAAACCAATTATGTGCTAATATCTTCCGAGAACTGATAAAGTTAGGAAATAGTTTAAGCGTTGACGAGTATGTTAAGTTTTTCGTTCGGGTCTGCGAACTTTTTCGGAGTACCAAAAAAGCAGTTTATTGCCCCCATAGCCACAGAGAGAAAAGTCAACAACCTCGTTAAACATTTTGAATTGGTTCAAGCTATTTAGTAATAAGTACTTTCTTCTGAAGTTCCAGACAGTGGCGTATATAGAACTTCAGTTCGATGAGCGCCTATAGGGTGGGGGAGGAAGGCGTAAGATATGACAGGTAGCCAAAACCACAGCGTAACTGGTTAGGATAAAAGGGGTCAGAACCCACTCTATTCTCTTAGAGCCGTGAACAAAGAAATCTGGCAACGTAGGTGGTAGTGTTACTCCCGCCGCTCAAAACGCTGAGAAAACATAACCTTTTCAATTTGTGATTTGGGAATCGCAGAGGCTGTAATTAAGAGATAAGCTTGTTTTCTAAGCTTCAAAGTGTGTGTATGTGTTCAAAGTGATCGGTGACTATAATATATGAGAAATAGCCTCCAGTAATACAAGTGTAATAAAAGGAGAATTGAAGCGAAACGAATTTTGTAAGCCTATTACCAATAAATATGATTATAGAGTACAATTTTAAAAAAAATCCTGATATGGTTAGAAAAATGGCATAATCTAGAGAATAATAATGGACACCTGACACCAGAAACGTATACAGCTCTATATCAAAGCACGCTGACTCTACTTAATATAATTGAATATTCATTTAATCAATTTGACATTGAGTATGTATTGCCTGGAAAATTCACCACTGATAATTTAGAAAAACGATTTGGCAATTATAGAGTTTTATGTGGCTGCAATTACAATGTGTCATATGATGAAATTTTAAATGCTGAAAAGAAAATACGGCTGAAGCATATTTTCAATGAAAAGAAATCGTCATTTTCTTTAGCAGAAATTAAAACAAGGTTCCAAAACTGCTTAGAAACTCAATAAAATTTTGATTTCTTGGATACCAAACAAAATACTGAAGTTTTGGATATATTCAATGAAGTATTTGAGACAAACTACTTAGCCAATTGTGACATAGAGGATAGTACTAAGACTTATACAT